TTGTGAACACACGTATTGTTTTCGGGTTCATGTTTTTCTGAATCGAGCGATATAAGTAGTAGCATGCATCGACTGTAGTCTTTATGTGTCATCAAGACGTTTACCACTCAGGGAAGTGCTCAGAGATATTCTGCTACCCGAAAGAAAAAAATATCACATTAGTGTTATTTACCAAAATGCCTCGGAATGTTTGCTATTTCACAAAGAATCCGTTTTTCGATTACCTAAAATATTTTTTTTCTGAAACAACCTAAAAGCATCTTCTTCAATTGGAGTCTGTTACAAATATTCTGAACACAAAAATAAATAGAAAATATTACAAAAGAAAGAAAAGAAATATCAAAAGTGAGATGGCTATCTCGTTGGAGACACTCAATCAGAGAAAACATTAAAATAGCTTCTTATTTCATTTTTAAGTTTAATCAAATAGTTGTGCCCAAAAAATTCTAATCGATAAAAAATAGTTTAAAATATTAGTATATATATGGTTAGAAGATTATTAGTGTATATGTGGTTAGATACTCTTGTAGATGATATAAGATGCTATAAGACTATTTTCAACCTAATAGTTAAATGTGTAATTTTATACTAATTTTTTTCTAACGCAATTCTAAAACCAAATTATTTTTGAGTAAATCACGCTATCGCATCAAATTTGATGTTCTACTAACCACAATGCTAAACACTATTTTATTAATAAAATATTAAGTTAAAAATATTCATGGTAAGCTAAATACATAAGAAATAGAAAAATCAATATATAACTTAAATTAGCTATTTAATTTATTATAATATTATATATATCTATTACATAGTAAATATTTGTTTAACAAATATATTGTTAGGTGCAATATAATTACAGAATAAAGGTTAATTATTATATATATTAAGTAATAATAAAATTTCTAATTTAATTGTATAAAATAAAAAGTATTTTTTAATATTAGATTTGGAGTTATGTTTACAGAAAAATACTTTTAGTGGTAAAATTACAGTAAATTAGTGTGGATTTCATACTAAAATGGTGTTATAAGTTGGAAATGCCTTAATTATTTCATGTTGTTTCTAATTGAAACATTTTTTTTTTAACTCTCTAATACCTTTACTGTTTACAAAATTTCTGAAACTTGTTTATGTAGTGCTAGTGCATATATTTGTTACATTCACACACGCACACACACACAAAACAACCCAGAAGTTTTCATATTTTTTTCTTAGCATACCTCTTGGACTATTAATTAGTAGAAATTCTATAAATTAATATTTGATAAATTAATAAATACTATAAATTAAAAAAAATTTCCAGTCTCATGTTGGGATAGTTCAAATATAAAAAGAATCAATAAAATAATAAGATAATATTTTTAAAAATTCTATGTAAATATATGATCTCATTAAAAATAAATTAATAATATATATGTATACATATTTTATATATGTATGATTTTTTCATTTCATATTTTTCTTTTATATTCACAATAGAATTCTCTTTATATTTTCTTAATAATTAATATATTTTTGATGAAATTTAGTAAAAATTCTATTTAAAACCATATTTAAATTCTTTGAAATATATTTTATATGCAAAAGATAAAATAATAAAACCAATATGAATGTCAAGTTGTTTTTTAAATATTAATGTATATAGACTAAAATCAAATAATTTTCTTATTCTAAAAAAAAATTTAAAATAGAAAAATTTAAATTCATATTTTTTTGTGCAAATTAATAACTCTATAGATTAATCAAATACCATAGTTCCAACATTATAAATTTATAGAATTTTTACTGTATACCTTATAACTTTTGCTAAAAATTAATAATCGAAGTGATCCATATAGTTTCTACATACAGTAATACTTCGCAACACGGTCTTTTCTAGACTTCCTAGAATTTTAAGTGACGGCCTTTTATCCTGGTTTGATCTCCTTGTTTCAACTTGTTCGTTCATTGTATGCTAACTCCGGTTTAGGAACTTCTCAGCATAGAAATTGGCCTTCAGTTCTTAGAGGTTACAATAGCAGAGATGGTTCTCGGAGAGTCATCGACAGTCTCCATGTCAACTATTGGTCGTCGTCCACATCCTGGGCCGCAACGGCTTCTTTCATCTTTTGTAGTGACGTACTTGACTTTTTGTGTAAGTTTTGGAGAAGTTTGGACATGCTGTGACAGAGAATCATCTCGCTTTCTGCATGGTTTGGGGCGGATTTGGAGGGTGTACAACTCGATTCATTGGACCTCTCGGTAAGAGTAAGCTCTCTTAGTTCATCTATTATTTCATCGACGGTGATGGTTTGTAAGTTTCAAGACTTTCATCGGTAACTAGCTACTCCGTAAACTACATGAAAACTCCTGACATCTGAGGAAACGAGGAGAACCTCACTTTTCCATGATCATTGTCAATTGTTGAGAACGGTGAATGATTCTTACAGATTTTTAAAATAAACTATCGGAATGTGTCGGATTGGTGGGTGAGGATAAATTGTAATATCTTGACTTGGGTTGTTTTGTTCTAATCGAGCCGATAAACGGATTTGAATTCCTATTTTTTGGGTTGAACAAAATTTATTTCAGATAAAAAACTATGCAACATTTGCAATCAGAACCAGAGGAGAATGGATTTTTATTATTTTTAGATGTCTCAGAAGTTTTTTTGTCAATATTTTTTTGTTTTCGTTCAAAGTCTTTAAACTGAAAGTTATTTCTTGCATAGGAGAGCCAATAAAATGATTATGCTGCACACAAAAATACTAGCATTTGAAACACAATTGTTCAAACATTTACACTCGCTTCCACATTGCTAAAAAAAAAAAAAAGATTCCCATAAAAGGTAGAATCCGAAAAACAAAAAACAAATAAAAAGTAGAGAAAATTGGCTAATCAGACCAATTTGGAGATGGGTTTGTCACCTTATACCTTTGCCCATTTTATTTTTGTCTAAATATACCTTTACCCAATTAAATACGAAATTAACCTTATATTTATTAATTTTTTTTAAAAAAAAAACCTTAAGTCATCTCCTCGTTCTCCGACAAACGAAGGAGAGAAACCAAGCAGGAGGTTCTCTCTCTCTCTCCGACCTCTCTCCGGCCTCTCTCCGGCCTCTCTCCGGCAAAGTCCGGCCTCTCTCCCACGAAGCTCTATCTCCGACCCGTGTCTCCTCTCTCCGACGAAGCACCGTCTCGGACCCGTCTCCTCTCCCCGACGAATCCTCTCTCCGACGAATCCTCTTTCTGATTTCGGATTTCAACTTGAGTAAGTGTTTGCTTCAAGTGTTCTTCTTCTCCTACGTTTTGGGATTTAACATGCATTGAATAATTCTTTGATTATGAGGAATGTGATTCAAAGTCATATTGAATTCATTAGGAACTCAAAAGTCACAACTTTTTGTTATCAAGCCTATAACTTGTTTTCTTTGTTTCATAGGTCAATAAAAGAAAGAAGATTGGACACTCTAGGGAATTCGGTTCACTCAAATTATCAAACACAGTTTTGTCTTCCTCTTGGTGAAGGTATATATGAATGTTATTGTTTTGCTTGAGCTCGTTTTGGTTGTTTATTGTACTTGAGCTTGTCTTGGTTGGTTATTGTTTTTACTTGAGCTCGACTTTGATTCTTTAAGTTGTAAAGTATTAATCTATTTTTCTTATTTTTTGTTTGCTTGCAGGTTATGGATTATGAGCTTCCATAACAATTGAAAACAGCTTCCATAAATGAGGAACAAGATGAGGCGGGTGTGGAGATGGAGAATGAAGACTTGAAAGTGACTTGAGTTAGAAGGCTCCTCATTCAGATCGAAATTGTTGTTTCGCTTCCCAACCATACCCGTAAATGACACACACAAGTATATGGATGAATTTTTCTTCCTATATCCAATAAAACTGCAAACTTGGCGATCATTGGAAATAACAACTGGTGGAATTCCTAAATTACTCATCAAAGAACTTGGAAAATAACTCAACTCAGCGCTAACAATCTTCTCGTCCATTCCAAAATCCTCCAAAACCATCATCTTCAATTGCTCTACTGTAGTACTTGCTTCCAACGNTATCCAATAAAACTGCAAACTTGGCGATCATTGGAAATAACAACTGGTGGAATTCCTAAATTACTCATCAAAGAACTTGGAAAATAACTCAACTCAGCGCTAACAATCTTCTCGTCCATTCCAAAATCCTCCAAAACCATCATCTTCAATTGCTCTACTGTAGTACTTGCTTCCAACGAGAGTAATCTGCCTTTTTTTCCTTATCAACAATGAACTTCCACTCATTATTCACATCCCGTCTCCAAACACCACATGAAACATAGATGAGAACCATTTGATTTGATAAAGAAGAAATAGAGAAGAAGAAGAAGAAAGGAAGAAGATCGTTGAATCAAACAAGGGATGAATTCAACGCAATTCCCCTGTAAATTTTCGACCAAAGATAAACTTGAATAAAGGGTAGTTACTGATTTTTCCTAAATTTTCGCATAAAATAACTGAAAATATAGAATACATATTCTAAACGGGATAGAACACTGATAGAAGGTTATACTATTAATTCTAACTACTTAGAACATATGATAAAGTAAGAACACGACGTTCTATCTACGATATATTATAGAATAGATGATAGAACATATATTCTATAGTTGAAATAATAAAGAGTCTTGGTTAGAACGTAAACATACGTATTCTATAATAGTTAGATCATAGACAAAGGATTACAACATATATTGTATGTTTAGAATAATAAAGTGTCTTGGTTACAACATATATTGTATGTTTTGAAATAATAAAGTGTCTTGGTTAGAACGTGGACCTACGTCTTCTATATTAGCTATATCATAGACATATGGTTACAATATAAATACTAAATTTGATAAAACGTTGAAGACAAGTTAGAATGTGTATTTTAGCTTCGTAAAAACAGTTATAATATACATTCTTACAAATCTAGATCAACACATCCAAAGTGTATTTGAAGTTTATTTTTTTTTTAGCAAAACCTATAAAATATTCTTATGATTATAATGATTTTTTCATATTTTTTTGAGCTTTGTATCATTTTTAATAATTGTTTCTATTATTATGAGGGTATTTATGTCAAAAACTGACTAATTATTGTGAAGGTATAAAGGGACAAAAACATTTCTATTCTGGCCTATTTTTCCAATTTCCCCTAAAAAGTATTATACAAAAACTGGTAAATAAATAAAAAAAATCTTTGTACTAATAACTCCAAAGGGACACGTCAGCATCTCCGTCAAAGTCATAGTTATGTCCGAAATGTACGGACGGTGGCGGCAAAAGCATCCCTTCCGCCATACTAGCCATCAAGTTTGGCATCCCAAACATGGAGTACTCATCGTCCATATAAAACCCTTCGCTGCTCTCCTCCGTAAAAACAGCCTCCACGATCGTCTCCTCCATGTCCAGGCCATGATCCGTCGTCGTATCGTTTATCTGAGCCTGAAAAGCCACCGCGGCTTCAGCAGCCGCCTTCTGAATCTCCTTGGGGCATGTCGTCTCCGGGATACGTAGCCGCCAAGCCGAGTCGGCGAAATTGAGGCAGGCGGATTTGCCACGGAGGGCTAAGGCGGCGACGTCGTGAGCACGAGCTGCGATCTCGGCGGTTAAGAAAGTTCCGAGCCAAATCCTAGATTTCTTGTTTGGCTCTCGAACTTCACACACCCACTTACCTGAGTTTCTCCGGCGAACACCTCTGTAAATTGGGTGACGTGTCTCCCGAAACTTCTTCCGACCGGCTGGTTTCTTCGGACAGCTAGCGGCAAGCGTCGGACAATACTCTCCGGTTAATGTAACCGGAGATTCGTACTCGGAGCCCAACATTTCAGAAAAGGAAGAGAATGAAGTCATTGTTGAGTAAAGAAAAAATAAAATAAAACTGGATAAGGTTGAGTAACTAAAAAAGATCTCAATTCCGTTGAGTTGATAAATGTTTAAATTATCTCTCAGGTGGATTCTAAAGTTTGTAGTTCGATAAAAAGTTTGGAGTGAGAGTTGGTGTTTATATTGGCCTTTGGAGTTTGGAACTAGAGGCGAACACGGAGTTTCTGGTTCCTGGAATGACAAGTGGACATGAGACAGCTAAGCGATCCCACGGTTTGTGTATGCGCTGTTTTTATTCACTAGTTATCTGACATGTGTACTATTGTCCCCACATGTAATGACTTTTGACTCTTCACTCGTTATTATAAATTTATTAGTTTTAAAACTTTGGGTAAGTGTGTGGCTGTGTTTGTGCTGTGTAGGACAACCGGTATGTAACTATTAACTTCCATGAATAAAAAAGGATGGGGATTTTTTGTCAACCATCTAGAAAATAATGGACATAAACGATATGCAATGAAGATATTTTTTGTGCTCTCTTTTTGTTTTTTTCCTTGATATTTTAAGTGCTCCCTCCCTGATTTTTTTTCCAACAATCTCCATGATTATTTTTTCAACAATCTCCATGATTTTTTTTTTCATTGATATTGAATATGTCTTTTTTTTTTCTTGACACATTACAACTATGCCTAGAGTATAACTTCTCATATAACTATTTCTACTTCGAGTTAAGATTGTAATTTGTTTATTTTGTGTAAATAGTATGGACTTGACAAACGTAAATGTTGATTTACAAAGCATTATACTGCTGTTCATACCTACATCATTTTACGCAAAACACATGAATTAGAAGAATCTTAACAACGTAATGGTGACCTGGTAGTTAAATATTATACTGATATTTTGAATATTTGTTCATCCATACATGTTAATTTTTCATATCATGATAAATTTATGAAAATAAAAACCAACAGTGTTTTGAGAACAAAATATTAGATTCAAAAAAAATATTACAGAAATCATTAACTAGCTAAAGAGGTAAATTTAATCCTCCTAAATGCTGACTTTTTGCTAACAATTCCTAGTTTTTGTTGTTATTGTGAGAAGCACGAACTTAGTTGTGTTTACTATCCGAAATACATACAAATTTCAGTAGCTATATAAACAAAAAAAAAACTACAAGTTCTTTGTGGCTAATAGCTACAAGTTAAGGGGCTAAGACTTTAGTTATTATAACCAACTATTCCTATAAGGTAACATTCCAACGATCATGGTTTCAAGTAGTATCCAACAACTTGTTATAATGATAACGCTCGTTGGAGTGTTATGATTACAGATTCTTTATTTTTTTTCTTTACTTCTTGTATAATGTATAGGTCTAATAAATGAAAGTTCAATTACAAAGCATCAAATAAAAGAAAATTTGTGTCTAACCAACATCATTCGTAGGCTAAGGAAAAACAAATATATATATAGAACAATTATGATAATCCAAACATATGTGACATAACATCCACAAATCAGTCGAAGGATATATATTCTATATGGTGAAAGAGCGGAACCTTACTTGAAATCAAATTAGCACGGTTAGGAAGACAAAATATTATTGTTCTTTCGTCACATGCAATAGATTTTCAACATATTCATATAGCATTTGATCAACAGTTTTCCACAAGGCCACAAGGCAATAGCCATTTGAAATCAATCCAATGACGTTATTTCAAATCAATGCAACTTCTAACTTCTAATTAAGTGATAGAAGATTAACAGAAAGTGCTAAAAACAAATCTTTACACTTATATAATATTAATAGCTAATTAATTTAATTAAAATTTTGATTTTAAAAGATCAAATCATTCACTGAGTAGAAAACAAGTGATTCAATTGTATACTGAAAAAGACTTTTCTTTCCAAACATTTTCTATCGCTCTTTCTTTTATGTCTTCTCAAAGAAAAAAGAGATGGAATGAAATATCTCGTGAGAAGTTGCTCTTGTTCTAACTTCTAATCGACAGAAGATTAAAAAGGAGAACAAGAGCAGCTCCAACAGAAAAAAAAAATCATTCACACATTCACACAGAATAGAAAACAAGTGCCTTTTATTGTATATTAAAAAAAAAGATTGTCTTCTATCTATCTCTTTCTTTTTATGTCTTTTCAATGGAAAAAAGAATAGATGAAATATCTCGCTTGAAGCTGCCCTAGTTCTTTTTGTTTTCTCTTCTCAATATACAATATAAAATTACTTATTTTATATTCTTTTAATACTGATCTAATAAGTGATTAAGTACACAATTATGATTAGTTCTGAAATTCAAATAAATAAAAAATAGTATTCGATTGTGTTTCTCTTATCTCCAGTCAGATGCTTCTTAAAGTACTAAAGTTGTATAATATATATAGTTAGTCTAAGGTAAATTGAGAAATAACTGACCAGTGACCAACATCGAATGCAAGCATGTAAAAATGCTTAGTTTCGTCTGAACCAAAGGATTAAACCGATACAACAGCAAATTAAACATCACTCTCAATCTCAAACTATATCGATAAATATCTGAAATCAACAAAATAATATCTATGAAACACTTGTGGTGTAAACCTCAATCACGTGGGTTTGAGTTTTTAAAGCCAGACGTTCGATCAAACGTACAATAATTTCTAATTTCTATTCTTACTATAAATCCAAAAGGTAGTATCTCTCTTTAGAATATCTTCCTAAGTATGGACAATGAAAACAAGAACCAACTCAAAACAAAAACAGAAAGAAACTGAATAATCAATTTTACTGTAAATTAAACAGAAAACTGTGTCAAATTTTAAATACATCTAAACAATTTTTATTTTCAATATTTAAAATATTGAAAAACTGAAAGATTGTATCAAACCAAACAGAATATCAAATTCTTAGCATATCTTCATCAATATATATCTAGAAAAGTTTCTCCTTATTTAATCAATCAAACTAATTTGAAAAAGAAGAAAAGTGAGGAGAAATAAGAGAAATTTTATTTTGAGAGATTCATATGCAATGACACATTTTCTGTTAATGTAATTTTATTTGTAGAGTTAAACTCTATTAATTAATATCATATTGTGGGATATCTACGTAAGAACTTTTATAGTCTTCTACAAATGCTGATGTTATTATTCGCTAACAAAAACGTGTCTCCCAACTTAGCAAATCTCTCACCATACTATACTGACAATCGTCAGAGAAAAACAAGACACAATACGAGGGAAAAAGGAGTGGTAACGTGAAGAAAATGACAATAAAATTAGAATAATAATGGTATCTTGAGAGGAAAGTAAAGCTTGAAAATGACGGAACTCGACAGCGAGAGGGACCAGAAAAGGAAAGGTAGGGACAGTGCTTCTGCTGTTAGGCCACGGTAACCGGACCCATCTTTCTGTTTTTGGAATCGATCTCTTCTAACATTTTAATGATTGTTTCGGTTTTAAACTCTACTTTGGTCAATGTTATGTGTTATCATCACTAAACTAAATTACATTATACACTGTTGGAAAAATTATAATATTATAACTAGATTTTGACCCGCGCAACCGCGCGGGTGTTTGTTTTCGTTTATAGTTAGTTATATAAACATTTTGTTTTCACTTGTAAATTGGTATATATTATAGTAATCACATATTTACGATATGTATAGTAAATGTTTTTCAAACATAATAATATTATATAATAAGTATTTTAATCAAATAGATTGTTTTAAACTCTCTATTTTATATATATTTTTCAAATATGTGTTTGTTTCTTCTTTTATATTTTATTGTTTGTTAGATTAGTATTTCATTTTTAGATAAAGTAATATAAATAGAGTTTGATTAAATATTAATATACTTTAATTTGCAAAGATAATATAAACTTCAAAGAAATTTTTGCTAAAAACTAAACTTATAGCTTCATAAATTAATGTTATAAAAAAATTTATTAAAAAGGATTTTTTTAAACAATTTCTTTTTTTAAACAATATTATTTTGAAAATCTACATCAAAATAAATTTATCTAATATATATAGCGTGTAAATTTTGTTAGGGTACATAAATATTCCATATTACTAATCTGTGATTTTTGTTAATATATTGTGGATGCATTTAACTATTATTGACATATTTCCTTATAAATAATAGAAGATTTCTAAACTTATATTTGTTGACATATTTTGCATGAGTAAGTTGGAAAGTGTGGAGTAATTTACCAAAACCAAATTGTTAAGTGTATCTTTGTTATTATAGATATGATTTTGCATAAGATATAATAAGGATAAGATTATTAAAGAGTTAATATAACATAACTTTCTAGTAATAGTCCATTTTTAAATTAATCACACATGAAGTTAAGTCATGACTTCTGTTTTAATATATAAGATTGATTATATATTACTCTTATATATATAACATTAGACCTGCATATATTGGTATATATACAAACATGTAAATTGAATTAAGACTTGCAAACAGTAGTTAAAATCGATTGATATATTTATGAAATCCAGCACAACCTCCAAATGACAATACACGTATGTTATATAAAATATTTAAATAATTGAAATCTAATATATAAAGTTATAATTAACTCAATTAAAAATAAGTATATATTGGTCGAAATTAATGATTACTTTTACTTTATTCCCGAGTAATATTCCATCCAAAGTCATGAACTGAAATTATTATTATTTGTTTTTTTTTTGAAGTTTAATACGATTAACTGAATCAGATTTAAAGCTCAAATATCTCAAATATATGTCCAACTACGATTGTAAACTTTTATTTTATCTGATACATGCTCTATTTTTTTTTTCTTGTTATTGATTAAGACAGTTTAACTAACATTAGTTAGATATTTTGGAAAAAAAGAGTTTCAATATGTTCTCGAATCCCTTAATAATTATTTGTGAAGTGATTTTGATATGTGTCATTACCACATTCAATTTTATTAAAAACTAGTGGTATTTCGACGCTACCCGCCTGGTTCGTATGTTTTATTATTTAATGGAGTTCAAAATTGTTTATAATCCTGAAATTATCAGTGTGTGTATGTTCTTTTAAATGTTTCGTATGAAGTTGTTGAGATATGTTAAAATTAGATGGTCGATACGGATTTCTAGCAAACACAGATTGAGT